TTATTCTGTTTTTACCATCATCTTGTCATCACCATCGGCACTACTATTACCATTACAATCACCTTCACCTTCATTAACATGATCAATATCATTGTTATCACCATCGCAACCACCAACCTAAAACCATCAATATGTAACAACTCAGGYTTAAAATGTATATCTCAYACTTGAGAGTCATATCTCTACTCAAGCTACTTTCACGCACTTCACACACACATCGACATATCCATGGCAATCAATRTCACCATCATGYACTSTCTGTCAACATCATTCTTRTGTACTTCAATACTGAATTKCTTSTWGTATTTTTTCTTCAAGGACCACAAGACACGAARCCAGTTTCTCCTGGGGATGTAAAAATAGAAGCTGCCGCAGGAACAGCTAAATACACCCCAACCAAGGAACCGTACAGTAAACACCATGACAGACCAACAAACCACAATATAAACCAACCTACCAATAAACCCACGAACCAAACTACCAGACCCACCAACCAACCAACTAATAGACCTACCAACCAACCCACCCCCACACCCACAAACCAACCAACCAATCAACCTGCTAGCCAACTCCCAAACAAGCCTGGCAGCCGACCCACCAATAACAAACAAGAGCCGTACACGGAACGGTACACCAGGCGGGATGAAAACGACGTCATTGCAAATGACAAGGTTATCTACCACGATCACGTGRATGTGGAGAGAGAAAAGAAAACTTGCTGTGTGATGATGTAAGCCACGAAAGACAGAGTCAAGGGAGGTGACGTCATTTCGCAAGGTTATCTACCATGATCATGTGGATGTGGAGAGAGAAAAGAAGACTTGCTGTGTGATGATGTAAGCATATATGTATAGCATTATAAGTCTTACCAAAATAATTTTGTATTATCGATGTTTGGTTTTAGATTTATAATAGGGAAATTTGATTGAAATAATACGTTTTAACTTGGTAGATGATTGCTAACTTTGTTTTGATGATTACTGTTATTGAAAAGTTGAAATATTTGCAAAATAAACATTATTTTTAACCTTCGTGATTTGGCCGCAATATTGGTGTCCCTCAAAGAGACACCAAGGTGACGGACCCCTACATTTCAACTAAATTATGGGTATTGTATAGAACGGTAAAAAAAAAAAAATTATGGGCATACTCAATCGCTTGTATCTAGGTATCGAAAACTTCTTTTAGCTAGAATTTTGGCTGAGATATTTAGTTCTGGCAAAATTTCTGATGACGTAAGTGAAAACCAAGAATAGACCCCTTGCAGCACATTGGAATGTAGCTCAGTCTGGGGGACAAAACAGTAGGAGATTGGAATAATTCTTTGGTTTTGTCCCCCAGATCGAGCTGCTTTGACGTCACATGCAAAGGGTGTATAGGCGCGTGATGGTTGCATGGTTGAAGAAAGGCATAGGGCGTCACATCCGTCACCTTTCCATAGCAACACAACATTGATTGGTCAACAGATGAATGTGGTTTCAGTTTAGAGATACTGTATCTGAGATTCGGATTTGTTTACTCTGCAAACAGGACTTTTATAC